CTTTTCTTATTTATTTATTTATTTATTTATTTATTTATTTATTTATTTGAGACAGGGTTTCTCTGTATTGCTTTGGAGCCTGTCCTGGAATTAGCTCTGTAGACCAGGCTGGCCTTGAATTTACAGAGATCCATTTGCTTCTGCCTCCCGAGTGCTGGGGTTAAAGGTGTATGCCACCACCACCACCCAACTTTTTTTTTTAATATTTAAATTAGAAACAAGCTTTTTTTTACATGTTAATCTCAGTTCCCTCACCCTCCCCTCCTCCTCTGTTCTCCTCCCAACCCCCATCCCACTCCTTTTCTGCTCCCCAGGGAGGATGAAGCCTTCCATGGGGGATCTTCAAAGTCTGTCACATCATTTGGAGCAGGGCCTAGGCCCTCCTGTGTGTTTAGGCTGAGAGAGTATCCCTTTATGTGGAATGGGCTCCCAAAGTCCATTCGTATACTAGGGATAAATACTGATCCACTACCAGAGGCCCCATAGACTGCCCAGACCTCCTAAATAACACCCACACTCAGGGCGTCTGGGTCAGTCCTATGCTGGTTTCCCAGCTATCAGTCTGGGGCCCACAAGCTCCTGCTTGTTCAGGTCAGCTGTTTCTGTGGGTTTCTCCATCCTGGTCTTGATCCTTTTGCTCATCACTCCTCCCTCTCTGCAACTAGATTCCAGGAGTTCATTTGGCTCAGTGTTTAGCTGTCAGCCCACTTTCTTATACTACCAAGAGCCACCTGCCCAGGAGTGGCACTGCCCACAGGGGGTTGAGACCTCCCACCTACATCAACCATTAATTAGAAAACTTGTCCAGGAAATCTGATGAAGACATTTTCTCAATGGAGGTTCCTCTCCCCAGATATGTCTAGGTGTGTTGTAAGCTGACAAAAGCCAACCACCAGCACAGTGCCCTTACAAGGGCAAGTACCAGAGACTTCTGTTTTTCTCTCATCTTGAGAGCTCACTAGGGAAAGGCTGGGCACAGGGGGGAAGGGAATTTACTAGCAGGGTGAGTATTAGGGCTTCGAGCCTTCAAAAGCATGAGACCCCCAACCTGATCCAGGCTTTTTTGTGTGTTGTGTCTGTCCTTGCCTCATTCCCTCCCTGCTCCTAGCCAGTTTCAGTATTGAAGCCACATGGGATTCTGGCGAGCGGCCTAAGCAGAGCAAGACAAGGGTCTGCAAACTTTATAGAATAAACAGCCTCTAAAGGCTCTGTAGATAGGACTTTATTTCAATAAAACCGTGTTAAGTGTAAACATATGTATGTAGGCATTTAAAAACATTATTCTTAGAATGACTTCAAAACCATCATCACACTGCCCTTAAGGTTCATGGTGCAAACCCAAACAAAAAACCAGACAAAAACAAAACAAAAAACCCCCTCTGACCTCTTTCTGTGGTGTTGGTATGTCTCACAACTTGTTTTAAACCAAAAATTTTACTAGGCTCCAATGTAACCCAAGTCTATAAATACTAGTATTATTGCTTGATACAGTCATATGGGGAAGGACATTATACAGACTGCTCTAAGGTATTTGGTTTTTACTGGGCATTTATATTAAGTATGAGTCACTGATAACACCATGCAGCCTTATATATAAACATCATAAGTTTAGTTCACATGTGCATGTGCCATATGTGCTGTAGCATACTGTGTAAGTCTTTCCAATGACAAGTAACAACACAGTGAATTTGCCAGGAAAATGAAACATCATTACTGATTGGTCAGGGTCCCTCCTGCAGAACAGAGCTGCTGATGTCTGAAATGGAAATAACCCACACACTTAGTGACAATGTACAGAGAAGATGGCCAGTCAGGTGCACTAAACTGATATTGAAGTGGGGGAGTTGGTGCCTCTCCTCTACCAGGCACTGTAAAGGGGCAATGGTTTCTCATGAGGCCTAAGGAACCATGTAGCCTTTCTTGGAGAAAGAATAATTGACACACTTCACAGCTGGGCCAGCTCACAAATTCATCACAGCAAATACAAGGCAAGTGTCTGTCGGTGAGGATATGGAGTAACTGGAATCCCAGTCTTTCAGTGAGAATACAAACATGATGTAGCCACTTGAGAAGCTGGAAATTCCACAAAACCTTAAATATAGAAATAGCATCCTGTTAAAGGATCTGACTTCTGGGCATTTATCCAAAAGAACTGATGTGATAGAGAACTCAAAGAGAGATAAAACACCTTACAACAGTTAGGATGTAAACCAGCCTGAAAGTAACTAGTTGCAATAGTTGGGATGAGGCCCAACCTAAGAGTTTGTTGACAGGTGAACAAGGTCTGTATATATATCAAAATACTTAGCCTTGAAAAAGCAGGACAAAGTATGACAACACAGTTGAATCTTGAGTATCTACGATGTGAAATAAAGACACAATCATAAAAAGCACAAGTATGCCACAATTCCATTCATGGGAGATATATAAAATAGTCAAATTCATAGAGTCAAAGGTTAGTAGGGACTAAGTGAAGGAGAAATAGGGAGGCAGTAGTCATAGCTTCAATCCAGCAAGATGAACAGACTCTAGAGGTTTGCTGTACACTGCTATGCACACAGTCAGTAACGCACACTTAAAAATTTTGTTGTAAGAGTTGATCTCATGTTGCATTCTTATAAAACAAAAATAAAAACAATGGCCAAACCAAAATGCTGTATAAAATGCCAAAAACTGAGAAATCAGCAGAGGTCAAGCTTTTATGACTGTGTAAGTAAAATAGCTATAGAAATCGGTCAGTGAAATGGCTCACTGGGTAAAGGTGCTTGTCGCCAAGCCTGATCACATGAGTTCAGTTGCTGGAATGTACATGGTTGAATGGCAGAACTGAGTCCTGCAAGTTGTCTTTTGACCTCATACATGCTGTGGCCCTCAAATCCCAATACACATACACATGCAAACAAACAAACAAACAAACAAACAAAACCATGGTAAACTTTGTATTGTATTGGTCAGTGGAAATATGTAAGAATAATATTATCAGCTTCCAATTACCCATCCTGATGACAGAGAATATGTGACAGGTACATGGCAGCAGCCATTTAATGCACCTGAACAAAAGTGGGCAGCCCAACCAATTTTGCAAGCACATGAAAGGCTGGTGGGTTTAAATTGGGACTTGCTTTTGGCTAACTGTAGGATTACTTTAAATTTTGGGAGGCACTTGACTAAATGATTCTTTTATGGGATTCTATCGTAAAGTAGTAATTCCAAATGAGGAGAATCTGCATAAAGATGCTTGCTATAGTAATGCTTTTAATACAGAAAAATTAGCTTAGTAATCAGGAAACAAGTCATTGCATACATTTCATATTAACAAACTGCAGAGACAGCACAGGGTTCAAGAGCACTTGTAGTTCCTCCAGAGGATTAGACTTCTGCCCTAGCACTCAGTTCCTGATCCCTTCTCTGGCCTCAGGGGGGAGCTCACATACACATAGAGCACACACAAAGACATATACATAAAAATAAAATCTTTGAAAAAATGCTGTCACTAAAAGTATGAACATATTAAGTTAAAGTTGTAAGCGTTAAAGCTTAGAAGGAAAGGTATTCTGACACTTAGAAGCCAAAGAATACTAAGTGTTACAGTTCAGATGGAAAAGTATTCTGGCAGTTGGGAGCCAATGAATACCAAAGGTCACAGTAGTTGTAGCAGCTTACAGCTCTGCTCCAGGGAAAGACTTCCCCAGTTTAACAGCTCTGCTCAGGCAGGAGAGGGCTTCCCCAGAGAAGCTGTCACAGTTCCGCTCCTGTCACCTGGAGTATACAACTCCAATCTGCTAAGGAAAGGTTTCCCTGGGGGTAAAGTGTTACAACCCTGCTCTGCTCCACTCTGCCCAGGCTCTGAAAGGAGATTTACTGGGAGGGAAGAATCCAGGAGACTGACAGAAGATTGCTGCAAACTGAACAGGTATAGGGCTTATATAGGACTTCTTAGTTTTCCAGAGTGGTGATTAGTCAGATTTCAGTCCTTCGGCTTCGATTGGCTAGATCTCATGCTCAGGGATTGGCTAGTTTCTGCTTAGTTGGTCAGGGGCGGATTTGGCTCTGGTCTCAAGGCCACTGTGTGTTTCTTTTACTGGCTTCTTCCCTTTCCCTTCCCTTCCCTTCCCTTCCCTTCCCTTCCCTTCCCTTCCCTTCCCTTCCCTTCCCTTCCCTTCCCTCCCCTTCCCTTCCCTCCCCTCCCCTCCCCTCCCCTCCCCTCCCCTCCCCTCCCCTCCCCTCCCCTCCCCTCCCCTCCCCTCCCCTCCCCTCCCCTCCCCTCCCCCCTTTCTTTCTCCTCTTCTTTCTTTGTCTTCATCATCTTTTTTTTTCTTTTTTTCCTTTTTCCTTTCCTCCCCCCCCCCCCCGCTCTTTGGCAGTGTGGGTCTTTCCACTTGACCTTGGTTTGAAAAAGATTTTCTTTGCATTTTTCCAGGCCAGGCTGGCTGGTCACTGAGATTTTCGGGTCCTCCTGTCTCTCTCTACCTCTCACCTCCCCCTAGGACCGGGTTTCCTGTTTGAGAATTATTTTATTTGGTCAGCAAATAAATGTTGAATGTCCAGTACCTGAATAACAAAATCCTGCCTTTAGGGAACTTATGTTTGAGTGGCAGAAAACGAGATAAGCCAACTAAACGTCACAATAGGTGATGAACACTCAGAAAAAAAAATTGAGGATAAGAGAATAAATTGGATATTGCGACCGGAGCTGTTCCTTCTGGAAGGAAGCCGTGGGAATTCAGAGCCGACCTGTCAGTCATGGCGGGGTCTAGCGATCAAGGCCACTGTCCCGACGCCTCCACGGGCGGGCGGTGTTAGCTTGGGCACGCGCCTTTTAGGCGAATCGGATCACGTGACCCGAGAGGCGGGAGTTGGTGAACGGAGTTTAGCCCGGCGTTCTCCCGACTCTAAGACGGGCGGGGCCGAGAACCAAACAAACGCAACGCCTCCCGAGCGGCTGGGGGCGGGGCCGACCAGTCGAGTCGAGCCTGCGGAGTCCCGAGCGCAGACCTTCCGCCGAGTTGATCTTACGGTTGCTGGCTGCTGTGGGCCGCGCGGTCTACGGACGGGCTGAGACGCGCGCTGCAATGGCGACCTTTGTGAGCGAGCTAGAGGCGGCCAAGAAGAACTTGAGCGAGGCGCTGGGGGACAACGTGAAACAGTAAGAGCCCCTGGGACTTGCCTCGGGGCCTGTGCGCGGGCGTGCTCCTGGCCCGGGGCTGCCGTCCTCCCTGGGGACTCCCACGCCTCCGGGAGGCCTGAGGCGCCTCGCGGCCGCCGCGGCCCCCGTGCCGGGACTCGAGGTGCTGGAGGACCGACTCCCGGGCGCCAGAGAGACCGGGGATGCGCGCGTGGGGCGGGGGGCGCCAGGGAGCCGGCGGAGCTGGGGCGCACCGGGCGGGGGGCCGAGAGGGCTTCCTGGAGGCGGAAGCCAGCGGCGCCCCGGGACCAGAAGCGCTCGGAAAGCGGGTTCGGAAGACACACAGACCCCGGGTGAAGTCGGTCCCCCCAACAACACGGCATCCGCAGGGACGGCAGCCTAGCCGGCATGGGACGCCTTTTCCTACTCCCTTACGTACTTAACTATCCAGCCTTCCGAAATGGTGTGAGATCGACAGTCACTACTCCCATTTGGTAGACAGGATACCGGCACCCAGAGAAGCCGGTTAGTTACTCTCCCAAAGCCACCGGCCCAGGATGGGGCCAGGGCTTCTGGTTCCGGCTGTGCGACGTTTCCTTCCCTGGGGTTGGAAAGGACCCCCAGGCGCCCAGCCAGACTGTCAGCAGTGACTGGAACTGAGTGACAGCTCCCTTAGTTAGCTGCAACCTACGCAGCCCGCAGAAGTGCCTCAATCTTTTGGGGGACCCTCAACTCTGGCAAAACCCTGGCATCGATGCAGAATTGTCTAGAGCAGCCACCTAAAAAGAGCCGGGGTCTGTTAATAGAAAGGTTCTCAAGACAGTGGCTCAAGGTGCCTGGTTCTCACTGGTGGAGCCCCGCTTTTGTAAAAGGCTTTAAAGAATGATTATTATTACTTGTAGGTATTAAGCACCAGAGTTAAAAGAGATGCCCGGGGAAAGGATAAGACATACTCAAGTGTGGGCATAAGCTTCTCAATGGAGAGTCACAATTAAGTGTCTTAGCATATACATTTTGATGGCTGTCTTTTTTTGTGTGTGTGTGTGTGTATGTACAATTTTCTTTCTTTTTGCTGCTGAATTGGATGGGTTTATATCTGATAAAAGTAAAAATCTTGGAGCCATTAAAGTTGCACAAGGGTTTTCTGTTGAGATGACTAGAAAATTGTAGTTTCACAGCCTGGAAGGGAGAAAGGTCTTAAGGCAGATTTGTTGTGTTGCAATTTCTGATTTCAACTGACAGAGGTTTTAAGCTGGCTGGGGTGAGGGACTCTTTTTCCTTTTTTATGTTTTCAGTTTCAAGACCTTCACACCAACCTCCATGGGCAGCCAGATAGTATCACAGAAACACCCTCTGAGATGCACGGAGGAAATTAAATTAAAAAATTATTTTAATAAGTAAAAATGACAGCCTTTTGCCTTCAATAGGATGCCTTTATGCTTTTGTAGTGATGAGTGATAAACCTTAATTAAAAAGCATAGTAGAATTGTCTCTCTTTTTTTTGGTACACAGTGCTCACAGGATGTAGAAGTCAACTGTCTTACATGGTGCTAAATTTGAGGGACATGGCTTGTGTGTATGATTGGCTTTAACTCTGGTTAGCTACTGTGCCTTCCAGGATCACACATGCATAGTCACACAGGGTTGGTTTCTGAGACTTCCCCTGGTACCTCTCTGCTGGGTTCTGGAGTTCTACCCTGTTCTGTGATGCAGACAAGACAGACTGGATTAGAAGTCACCCTCATGGGCTCACTCTAACTCAGACATTCTTTATGTAAGCCTTGGCCTGGGCCGGCAGAGTCACCAGAGGAACTCTGGGAGGGTTCTCACAGCTCAGCCAGCCACTGACACTGGAGTTTATAAACTTCTTCCTTGGGAGTTGGAGTAGCTAGAGTGAACTCTGTGGTTTTTAGTGCTATTTCTCCTTCTGCAGATACTGGGCCAATTTAAAGCTGTGGTTCAAGCAGAAGATCAGCAAGGAAGAGTTCGACCTAGAAGCCCACAGGCTCCTCACACAGGACAATGGTAGGTCTTCATTTCTCCAAGTTTCTCCAGACTTAAAATAAGTACTTTTGTTTTTGATGGTATCTAAGATAATCCTAACAGTATTGGTTTAAAAAGTTAACTGTAAAGAATGGTAGAAAGTGAGGGAACATTTAAAGTATTTACAAGCTAGGCTAATGTTTTTATGTTGAAGATACTCCCTGTTTGACTTATGGCAACCTTCCTTTTTTTTCCAGTCCATTCTCATAATGATTTCCTGCTGGCCATCCTCACACGTTGCCAGATTTTGGTTTCTACACCAGGTAAGGGAGTGGGAATGTTTCCAGTGTGGATTCACTTGGCAAAGCTGGGCAGCACTGGGATTTAGTTTTCTTTATCAGACACCACTCAGGTTTGCAAAGGAAATAGAATAGAACCTGAATTACCCAGAACCTCCCCCCCCAAGAAAAAAAAAGGTATGTAGGTGATAATCATTGTACATACTCTCCCATGTGCGTGCTCACAGACACACATGTACACACACACCCTAAACAAATGCTTTCCTCATATTTAGTATTTACTACTTTTACTCTCCACTCAGCTTGCTATATTCTAGATGGAGTAATGAGGAGCTGGTGGAGTCAGGATTCAGCTTGTAAGGCAAAGGTTAAGTGTGTGCTCTGAAATCTTCCCTTGTACTAAAAGCTGTCCTGGACATTTTTAAAAACCGAGCTTTATGGGGTTCTTCCTGCCTCTGTAGATAGTGTTGTTTTTTTTTTTTTGTTAAGCAGGAGTGATTCTGGATATCTTAAAAGGCAACCAGGAAATGGCTGGGGTTTTATGTTTTTATTATTTTTATTCATGTGTCTGTCTATGTGCAAAGTGAATACAGTTACAAGTGTTACAACCCTTTGGAGCTGGAGTTATGGACAATGGTATCACCCAACATGGTGCAAGGAACCCAGGTCTGACTGCTGAATCAGCTCTCTAGTCAACCCCTGTATTATGCCTCTTAATCATTGTAACTAACTTGGCTTATTTGATAAAGAACTCAAATGTGGTCTTACCATCTAAGGCTCTTAGAGAAGCTGTTGATGTTGTGTGTAGTAGATGGTGGTGGTTCTTAAAGGTTTGGCATTGGAGAGGGGGTGGCTCCCTGACCCTTTACCACGCTGTCACCACACAGGTTGCACTCTGTCAGGTTTCAGGTGTTCTGTTTAACTTAAATAGAAGTGGACTTTAGCCAGATTTCTTTTATGTATGTCTAAAGTTGGGTCATAATGATAACCTCCTGCGCTTAGCAGAAGAGCCAACCTGTGAGGATTGGATCTGTCTAGGTAGGCATGTTGAGAGCACCACACTCCAGCAGGCAAGGTTGGTGAGAGACCAGGGGTGGGCTCAGGGTTAGACTAATACTTGATGATTCTTAGCTTTTATACTTACAAAATAGATACAGTAACATTTACCAAGAAAAACAGATGTAAGAATCTATAAAGTAGTACATTTCCACGTGAAAAATGGTATTAGTAAGTATATACTTGGCTGATTAATTAAATAAAAACTCCGTATTCTTGAATGTATGTTATTGGTTATACAATTTTATAATTGGTTTGCAGTTATACAATTTTAATAATATGTGGCATATAGATAACTTAATCTTTACAGTCACTCTTCAGGGTGTTGTTAGCCTCTTTAATAGATACAAAACCAGCCATCAGAACAAAACAAAAATTTAAAAATTTGTCTGAGGCCCTGTCTCCTTAAATGGTAGTCAGTCTTGGCCCAAAACCAGTCTTGAGTGCTGTGGGAAACCCCCTTTCTCTGGGTCATCTTCCTCCCTTTGTGTCCTTACCCCTCTTGCCATCTTTTCTCCTGAGTCTGTTTTGCGTCTTCGTGTCCCTGCAGTCAGCTCTCCCTGCCAGCACCTAGGATCCAGTTCTAATTGCAGGAGTAGGTTTCTGTAGAGCCTACTGTAGAACCCAGGTTACTCTCACCCCCTCCAAAGCTTCACTGGCAATCCCCCCATAACAAAACAAACTATAACCCATTAAAATGGGTTAAACTGAGCAGCTTGGTGGTTAAGAGTACTCACTGCTCTTGCAGAGTGCCAGTTCAGTTCCCAACGCCCACACAGCAGCCCACAACGACCTGTAACTCCAATTCTAGGGGATCTGTGATGCACATATGAACATGAAGGCAAACACTCACACTCATAAAATAAAAATAATGGATCTTAAAAATGTGGTATAACCTGTTATTACAATTATGAGTATGTTTTTCTCTTAAATAAATGATTTTGATGGTGGGGCTGGGGAATGGGTTAGCCGTTAAAAACATACTGCTCTTGGAAAGGACCAAAGTTTGGTTCCCAGCACCCATGTCAGATGGCTACCAGCTTCCAGTAACTCTAGTTCCAGGGGATCTAAAGCCCCTGACCTCCTCAGGTACCTACAATCATGTATACATTACTTTCCCCCTCCCCCACACACATATAAACACATGTGCACATATTTCTTTTTTTCTTTTTTTCTTTTTCTTTTTCCGAAACAGCATCTCTCTGTGGTTTTGGAGGCTGTCCTAGAACTATCTCTTGTAGACCAGGCTGGTCTCGAACTCACAGGCCTCTGCCTCCTGAGTGCTGGGATTAAAGGTGCGTGTCACCAATGCCAGGCTATGTGCACATATTTAAAAGAAAAAAAAAAAAAACTTCAAAAACTATTTTATAAGAGTACTCCTTTGAAATTACTATTTTGGAGATTTTTTTCCCCCAAGTATTGTTTTACATATGTGTGTGTGTGTGTTTTCCCAAGTGATGAAAAAATATATATATACATATGTAAATTAAAGTACTATGTTCATAGTCCTAAAAAGAAAATCAGCACAGAAAGTTGTTGTAAAGGCTGCTCCTTACTAGTACACTGCATCCCGATGTTCTTATGGTGAGTCTTCTATTGTAGCATGAATTCTCTTAGTTCTTAATAATAAAAACTTGGAGTCAGCTATCACGGTGAAAGCTGAAGGATCAGAGAAGTAGAGCAGCCAGCTAACAGAAAGTTCTTACCACTACCAATGCTCAGACCAAAGGGGTGATCCTGTCCTCAGATTGCATCCTCAGACTGACTGCTGCCTCAGACTGCCCTGAACTTTTGTCTCCTCTGCCTTGTCGTCCTTTCTTGGTCCAGCCATATCACTCCTGTCTCCACCTTCCTAGTGCTGGGATTAAAGGTGTGTGATACCAAGTGCTGGGATCACTCTCTTGTGAGCTCTGTCTATTTTAGACTAGATCAATTTTGTGTAGCCAAGGGTGGCCTTGAACTAACAGAGATCTGACTGCCTCTGTCTCCAAAGTTCTGGGATTAAAGGTGTGTGCCATCACTGGCTGGCCTCTATGGCTAACAAATGTGGTTAGCTCTGCACTCTAATCCTCAGGTAAGCTTTATTTGTTAGATCATAAACAAAATATTACCACAGTCCATTGTTGCTCATTGTTGCTTACACCCATCTCTGGGTCTGTTAGCTTCAGTGTATGTCTCTTTACCTTATTACCCTTGTCCTTTGGGAGCTCCTCAGCTTTTCTAGGCTTTCTGTTTAATATAATCTCGAATTCAGCGGCTTTAATAACATTTTCTTCTTCTTTGATAATACATGTGATTTGAGATTTATACTTTCATTTATAGAGAAGTAGAAAGAGAATATTCAGGCTTGAATTTCATCATTTAAATTTTCATTACCCAAATGGTCCGTGCTTCTAGTACCCAATGGGAAAAAAAATAGCTGTTGTCAGTTTTCACTTTGGTTACTATCTTTTTCACTGTGACTATTGCTTTTCTGTCTTGTAGAGGGTGCTGGATCTTTGCCCTGGACAGGGGGCTCTGCAGCCAAGCCTGGAAAACCCAAGGGCAAGAAAAAGCTTTCTTCTGTTCGTCAAAAATTTGATGTAGGTCATTCTCCAATAGATCCTGGCAACTGTGGGTTAAGTACTAGTGTGATAAAATAGCTATGAATTTTTTGGGGGGTGGGTAGGGGGCTTGAGACAGGGTTTCTCTGTGTAGCTCTGGCTGTCCTGAAACTTGCTTTATAAACAAGGCTGGCCTTGAACTCAGGAATCTGCTTGCCTCCCAAGTGCTAGGACTAAAGGCATCACTGCACCTGGCTAAGTAGCTGTAATTTTAAATGTCATCAGCAGAATTGAAAAAAAATGATTTAGGAATAAAGATTGTAAATACATCTTAAAACGTATTCTAGCCAGCATTTACACATAAGTGTTATGATTAGCACTTCAGAGTCTCCAATGATTGGAAGCACGCTTGTGTTCTCATTCAGGTCTCAGATCAAAGGCATCTGGTTAACGTTTAGCCTGCAGCCTCTGGTAACTTCTGTTGATACCTAGCTGTGCTCTGTGCTTTTAGAAATCAGTATAGAGAATATGAAGCATTTGGCTATAAACTTGTAAACCTTTTAGAATATATGTTTTTAGTTAGGATGAAGTTTTCTGTTCTATGCTTTATGTCAGTAATATTACTCAACCTGGGGGACTCCACTGTCTCTAGAGGCATACCTGGTTTAAAATGTGGTGGATATGACACAGCTTTACACTTAGGAAATGGAAAGATGCCAATATTGATATATATATATATATATATATATATATATATATATATATATATATATAGTCTCCACTGTAAAATCAAAGGTACCAGAAACAAATCTCCCAGTGATGGTGGAATATATGAATTTCATATGAATACTGAAGTGTGTACATATGAACAAAAGTTGAGTGTTTTAGATCATGCCTTAGGCTGTTTGTTAGGAATGTAAACAGTCACATTGAAGAGCTGCTTTTGTTCTATAACATTAGCTTGGAATATTTGTCAGAGATATCATTTGATCAGTTAGGCTTTGTAATACTCCAGAATTTTTTACAATTAAAGTTCTGTGACTTTCTTAATATAGTTCTGTGTCTCTTCCGATTGTTATTTTTAGCATAAGGCCATACATTTTGTGACCACCAAGGTATTAATTGAATGTAGTAAATGGCTGTAGGCATGGAGGTACACCGCTGGAATACCAGCTCTTGGGAGGCTGATGCAGATAAATTAGAAGTTTGAGGCCCATCTAGGTTATTAGGTATAGCAAGACTTTCAAAAAGGCAAAGAACAATTTGCTGTGTAGATAGCCATTGTCCCCTTAACATGTAATAGATGTGAATTTATGATAATTTGTACATGATTTACTACCCCTTCATGGCTGAGCCATCTCTCCAGCCCATGATTTACTTTTTACTTTGAGATTTTTGATACCCTTCGGTATAGTTTTATGGGTCTTTAATTCCAACAGATGGGTTTCTTCTGTTTGTCTTGTTACTTGCTATTGGAGTGAGTAATTGTGAAGTTTCCTTACTCAGCATAGATTCCAGCCTCAGAACCCCCTCTCTGGCGCTCAGCAGTTTGTGGCAAAGGATCCCCAGGATGATGATGATTTGAAACTCTGTTCACACACTATGATGCTCCCCACACGAGGTCAGCTTGAAGGGAGAATGATTGTCACTGCTTATGAGCATGGGCTGGACAACGTCACTGAGGAAGCTGTTTCTGCTGTTGTCTATGCTGTGGAGGTGGGTTTGCTCTTGGTAGAAATAACTACAGGTAATGATTGTTGGGAGATTGTGTGTATGCTTAAAGCTGATATTGACAGAAAGGAACTGAATGCTACTCAGGTTTCATGTCTGTTATCATTGAAGAGAAATACTCTGTACTTCACAACCAAAGAATTTGGTTGTGTAATTGACAGGTTTTTTTTTTTTTTTTTAAGAAAGGTTCCTTGTAGCATCCATACTTTTGCTTATCTCTTTTTAAATTTGTTTTAACTTGTCAATATAGGAAGTTTTTAAGCAAAAACAGAAATCAGAAATTCTAGTGGTTCAAGTCACTCATGTTTGAGGTAGTGCTACAATTGAAGTGTCAGGTAGGAATCTGAACAGTGAAACTGTTTGACCCACTATTCCATTGCATAGATACCAGACAATACTCAAGTAACTCTTGATAATTTTCTGGGTCTTATTATCCTCATAGTCATTTCTGAGATAGTGGTTGCACTCGAAACATTGAATGAGTTCTGCATGAAAACCCATATTTAATTGCACAAGGATGTCTTGATAGAAGAAAGTCATATTGGTATAAGTGAAATGTCTGACCTGATCCTGGTTCCATTGTGCTAACATATGCTGGGCATGTCCTATTTTTATGTTCCCAACCAGCTCTAATGTTTTTGGATCTTCTAAAAGTGAAGAGAGTTGAATAACATGCACAGTATTCTCTGTCTGCAGAGATTTTGAGAGCAACAGCTCTTGCAGTGATTTTGGTAACCAGTAAATACCAGGTCTTAAAACTTTTGTCTCATTTTAAGTCAGATTTCAAAGTCATTTGCCTTAAAAAAAAAAAAAAAAAAAAAAAAAAAAAAAAAGTCAACTTAAGGGAAACAAACTCAGTGCATGTGGAGTGGTAGAGAGCACTCGCCCAGCATGTGAGGTCCCATGTGATGTTCAATTTCAGCATTGCAAACAAAATGAAATACACTTCAAAGAACACTGTGTATAGAACAGCCTCTTTAAAGAGAGTGAAGTGAAGCCAGCACACCTTTCTCTCCCCATGTCCTACATCGGTGTGGGCTGTTTTCATGAGCGTTTGCCATTCTACATCACCAAATGCAAAGACCATTTGGAATGAAATGGAAGTTGTATAGTTTGCTTTTGAGCTTGTGCTATTTTTCTTTTGTTTTTCAGAATCACCTCAAAGATATACTGACATCAGTTGTGTCAAGAAGGAAAGCTTACCGGGTCAGAGATGGCCATTTTAAATATGCTTTTGGTAGTAATGTGACCCCACAACCATACCTGAAGAATAGTGTGGTGGCTTACAACAATTTGGTTGAAGGGTGAGTGGCTTCCTGTACTTTTGCATTGGTCCTTTGCTGCTTGGTCACTGACCTTTTATGTGAGATGCCATTGTTAAAGAATCAATTTTTATGTTTTGCAAGATTTGACATCAAGTTATTTTTTTAGTTGCATGCTTTATAGTGAATTATTTTGGTATTTATTTTTTTAAGCAGAGGTGATTATTTGATTGCCTCTCCCTTTGTATGTGGGATGGAGTAGCCCTTCAGGTAGTGTGCCCTAATGATGGCCTCTGCTTGGTGAGAAGGTGGCCTGCTCATGGCCTAAAGCTGAGTGTCTGATGGTGGGAAGAGGAGGAAGAATGGTAGATGATGTTTGTTCTCCATGACCTCATCTGATGCTCATGGCTTAGCTCAAAGTCGTGGCCTGTGCCCATGTCTTCTGATTGTCCTCAGCATCCTGTTGAAACAGATCTATGTCCTCAATAGACTCAGGGCTTTTAGGACCATCTTCAATTCTAAGCCACTCTTTCATGAATTGGTTCAGATTATCTTTATCCATTCTGCTTTTCCCACAAAATTTAGTGTTAATTTTAACCTTTTGGAAAAGAAATTGCAGTGGTTTGCCTTGTGGTAACTGCAGTGGCTACACATCTTGAAAGACTGGATTTTGTCTGTCTGGTTACCTGCCTAATGGAGGAAGGGAGGAAAGAGGTAAGGATGATACAGATAGGATCAAAGCAAACATTTAAGACTAGGATGGCTGGCTGGAGTGGCAGTGGTGAACATAACAGAAAGAGGGCAGATGTAAGGGGAGCTGGCAGCACATGGAGAGTGGCATTGTGGCCATCCCCAGACTAGAGACACTGTGATGAGTGAGTGTCATCTCAGATTGGGGTCCTTATTTAGGTTTCTATCTGTGGTGAGTTACTACCCAAACCTCATTCAGACATGTCTGTTTGAGATTGTTGCATATTTAAATCATTCGCTAGGGAAAGATGGAGTAAGGGGTGTTGGGGGTTGGCTCTGACAAGGCTTTGCCCTGGAGCTCTCTATTCTTGTTTTCATTCCCAGGAAGCTGTTCCTTGAGCAGAGCTGCTTCCATCTGAAGCTCTAAGCCACACTGCCTCCCCACTCTGCTTTCCCTCCTTGTACCTTGCTGGCAATTCTAGTTACTCTTCTGTACTGATGTGAAAGCCAGGCCTGGCTTCTGATTTTCCTGTTTTGGGAAGCTAGCAAGATAATGGGTGGTGTTTTTCACATCGTCTCTGCTGCTTTTCTTATTGTTAGTTTTTAACCTTGTTATCTGTACGATTTGCCTTCTCCATAATTTTTTTAATTTTGTATTCTTTCAGCTATACTGCTTTTTTTGTTTATCTATATGTTTTGTTTCTCCAGACTGGAAACTCTTTAGGGGCAGGAAACAGTTTGGTTCAGTACCTCGAGCAAAGTAAATGTATTAGTATTGTGGGGAGAGGGAGTAAATATGGCTGCATTATATTGTTTCCAGCCTGACACATGGAACCTTTTGAAAATTAAAATCATGGACTCTTTCTGTATAAGGTGGTGGGTTTCTGATTCATTTAAAGATACTCAGAATGGGGTGTGTTCCAGCAAGCCTCTCTATTCTAGGTGTTTACTTCTCTCCATTCTGGGTACTGAGAATATTTCTTTAAAAAACTTCTTCTCCAGCCCTCCAGCCTTTTCTGCTCCCTGTGCCAGTCAGAATTCAGCTTCTCAACCACATCCTGACGATGCTGAACAGCAGGCCGCATTCCTGTTGGCATGTTCTGGGGACACTCTACCTGCATCCTTGCCCCCAGTGAACATGTATGACCTTTTTGAAGCTCTGCAGGTATTTCTTGGCTCCTGGTTTACTTGGATTTATTGCTACATTAATGCCCGTGAATCTACAAAGATACTAGCTATTTTACTTTTTGACTTGTTTTTATGGTCAACAGTAGTAACCTCATTTTAAAACCCTGTAGTTCTTCCTAAGTTACCTCTTCATCCTCTGCCTCTCATTAAAACAAATATCCTATTCCAAATAATCCCATAGTTCCTTATTTTCAGGCTTTTTATTTTAATTTTAAATTTTAAAGGTGCATGCATGTGGGTAAAATGTGTCATGGCTTGTGTGTGGTCAGAGGACAATGTTGTGGGGTCATTCTTTCCTTTCACCTTTATTTTATCTGAGTTCCAGAAACTGGACTCATGTCATCAGGCTTGCGTAACAACTACCTTTTAACTGCTGAGCATCCCACAGGACTGCTTAGTTTTCTTATATGACTTGTCACTATGTCCTGACTTAAAGTTTATAGGGCACCTAAGTCATAAGTTTTTAAAAATACAAGTTATACTTTTGAATACTGGAAAAACAAGTCTACTGAAGCATAATTGAAAACATGTAATTTTTAAAATCACAGGTACACAGGGAAGTCATTCCTACACATACTGTGTATGCCCTTAACATTGAAAGGATCATCATGAAACTTTGGCACCCTAATCATGAAGAGCTACAACAAGACAAAGTCCACCGCCAGCGCTTGGCAGCGAAAGAAGGACTTTTGCTCTGCTAAATTAGGATATGAAGATTTGGGACAATCACTAAATTGGTTGCTGAAAACTGAATGCTTTTGAGTCCACATTTCAAAATTGAAGTGTATAATGTATGTATAACCTTTCCTATGGAAATGTGACATTGAGTGCATTTTGTGTTGCTACTGTGAAGCCATTAATATATGTCTGATTGATGATCTGTGTGTGTCCCCAGGCATAGGAGCAGTCATTGTTCTGTTCCTGAGTAGGGATATTAAGGCAACTGAGGTGTAGTATCTCTGGTCTATTGGTAAGATAGGTGATATCTTAGAATAAAGATGTTATTGTAGCACAGTCCCCATAATTAGCAGGACTACTGTGTGTGGAATGATGTTCTGTATCCAACAGTGAAAAAAATCGCTTTCCCTGAAGAACTATACTCTGCATATTGGTGGAATAACCTAATGTTAGTCAGAATTCTCCTTTAGGTGACAACCTAGCAGCTAGAGAAGTTCCCAGGCAACCTACAGTTTTTTACTCGAGAACAAGATTTGGATTTGTGGTTCTTTTTTTGCATTTAATACTCTAGTACTTTTCTTAGAATGCAGTTATCTTTATAGTGTTTTCTTGTAATTCAGTTGTTTTAGCATTAGGCTGATGGGCAAGCTTGTTAATCTTATAGAAATGGTTTTGTGAAATCTTACAAACTGCAAATTTTCATATTTCTATAAAATGTCTGTTTTATGTTTTCAAGTAGTACTATGAACTACATTTGACAGTGTTACTGGTAACCAACTTGTTTTACAGCTAAGTTGCTTTAATTTCATGTAGTGTTGATGGATAAAATAGATGTACAGATAGATTTTCAGTGGCCTAAACAATAGATACATGTATTTTTGAGTGTTCCTGTATCTAGATATGTGAATTTGATTTTGTATTTTAAATGTGACAAATATGACAAATAAATGTTTTGGGAGAAAAACCTCTTTTCTGTTTATTCAAATAAGCAGATAAGAATATACAAACACATAGCCATTTTATACACACACACACACACACACACACACACACACACACACGTATATAGATATTTTTTTTTTTTTTTGAGACAGGGTTTGTATAGCCCAGGCTGTCCTGAAACATGCTCTGTAGACCAGGTTGACCTTAATTTGCCTGCCTCTGCCTCCTGAGTGCTGGGTTAAAGGCTTGTGCCACCACTGTGTGACCAGGTAAGGAGTATCATTGTCCATAGAAACAGGAAAAGTTGAGCCATATGAGATCTTGGCTCAAACTCCAGAAGAATGTACTAGGTAAGTGACAAGGCAAGTGCCTGTTAAGGTATGCAAAAACAAAAAACCCCCAAAAATAACAGCTTAATTTGTTCTTGGCACAAACCTTTCTGAGTGTCATGTGGGTGGCACTCAATAACTTAGTGGTTGAAAGGGTTTGGAGTGATAGGTACACATATACTGGTCTTGTTTTAGACTGCTGCTATATGAAGGGCTTGTGCAGTTCAGAGGTTGGTGTGTGTGTATGGCAATGGAGAATTCCAAAAGGGTTCTGTGTAGCGGAGGAAGTGTGTGTGTCTGTATGTCTGTGTGTCTCCCCCAAAATGGAAAATTCCAAAGGGTCTGCAGCAGAGGAAGTTCCAAGCTGTAAACTGTTCACTGTACTAGGCCCTGGCCTACTTAGTCAACACTTCAGTGGGACCACAAACTCCAACTGCATAGCTGTCATTTTACCATAACTATTTTGAAGTCTACACTCAGGTCTATCTTTTATGCCAGTTGTCAAGAGATTTTCTGAAGTAGAAGATGGGTTTGGAGGAAAGGGAAGAACATAAGAATAATTAGGGTATTCAAGAGTTCAATTTTTGTGTTCCACCAAAGGCTGGCTCCATTTCTGGTAACTGCCAGGCACAAGTCTACGTGCAGTCTCCTATAATTAAGAAATTATAAACACATATTGTCAAGGATCATTTAGGAAAAATACTTGGAAGAAAGCTGTTAGAAACTGGATAATTTCTGAATTATTCCCAAGTTATTTCTACCTTAAGGCTTTCAGTTATGTGTTTAGCCACAGGTGTGACTGCAACAAGTTTGCCTTGCTTTACCAGGCACATTGAGGATCTCAGCACCTGTCTGAACACCCTATATCCCAATTTAAAAAAAAAAAAAAGCTCATAACACAGTACATCTCTTGAAGACTTTGCTTCAAAGGTATAATACAGTGCTATCAAATCTGATGAATAAAGTATAGGCAATAGCTTAAAATTTATTTTTGACAATACCAGCTGATAAATAAAACCACCACAGCCTATTGTCTTTGTTATCAAAGTTTATTATTGGGATCAGTGTCTATCTAGTAGGGAGTACCAGTCTCAGTGTGCTATGGCAATTCTTGGGTAACCACTATTCTGCTAATAGCTGTACTGGGACTCTGTAAAGTTTATCTTAAGTGAATGGAGAAGGGTGCACCAGAAGATCCTGACAGCAGGGCCATCACTCTAGGAAAAATCCAGATATATGTAACCTATAAGGCATCTCAGCTGAAGTGATGTTATGGGGACAGGAGTTAAGTCCATTTCTACTCTTCATTAAGATACCTGGCTTCTGTGTGGAAACCCCACATGGCATCTTTTAAGCTCTCAAGCAAGAAAAACAGGTGGGAAAGAGGACAGTGGAAGAAAAAAACAAAAAAACCACCACCACCACCACCAAAAAAACCCAAAAGCAACAAACCGGATGGCATGGAGAGTAACAGATGCCATTTGGGGATGACAGGACATTGCAAACAAAGCTAATAAGAAACAATTAAAATGTGAGTTCATTCAGATCTTAGAAGTCATTTCATGTGTTTGGAACTCTGACAAACTGGGCAAGTGTAATGACTGGTTAGAGTAGACCGGAAAAGTAGATGACAAACAATGTGAGTACCTGAGCAGAAATTGGTAAAGATGCCAAGAACAGTGTACAGCATCCACATGAGCTGTGTGGTGGAAGGAAAAGTAGTCATAGCAACCGGGTTGGCCAGACTGAGTATTCCAAATACATTCCAAATGGAATGACAGACCTATTACAGGCTTTGACGGAATGTTTTAATAGTTGACTTATGCAGGAATGCAAATTACTATTGTGGAAAAAGTCAATGACTCATATCCTTGTAGAGTTGAAGTCTGAAAGCAGCTGTGGCCCAATGCCCAATACTTCCCATTGCCTTTTTGAAAAACTATTCAAGAAATTAACCAAGTAAGTGTGAGTCAGTAGGTCTTGTTCTGTGTAGACAGCAGATGATTTAGAGACTTCTGCAAGCAGCTAAAAAGCAAAGGTCTGTTTACCAAGGGTTGCCTCATTAAAGAGGGTTAATAGGGAATGCAATGCAGGGTCATTAAATAAGACCCTAAAATGTCTAGCTGCCAACCATATTAGGGTAAGTGTAACAGCATCATTTATTTTATACTTGTATCTTCTAGCACTAAGCCAGTGTCTGGATTTTGCTATTATTAATCTCATTCCCTCAGTGAGATGTGTAAATAAGAGTAGTACAAGTGGTGAGTTCTACAAAAGCTTTTCTGTCATCTTGACCTGTATGTACACAGGCTCTATTGAAACATCTGAAAAGGTATATACTTGAGGTTTCTGCTCCACAGAAAAGAATCAAGAGTTGTGGTGACATGGTACATCTTGGTGCTGAACAATGTTCTCTTCTCCAGGAAATATTGTCATCCATTCATGTTTACAGGCTAAAATAAGGGACAGAGCAGATAGCTCTGAAAGGAGAAATGGGGCAGAATGTTTCTTTTCTAAGCTTGTCGCTAAACTTAAGGGTCTTAGGTCTGCATGACACCAGATGGAATGGGGTGGGTGGGGCTGTCCAGACCTGGGATGTTCTGAGCCTTATTGCTCTTTTTTGGTTCCTCTGCAACCATCTTCTTACAAGTTTTTTTTTTTTTTTTTTTTTTTTTTCTCCCAAGTGTTTCAATCAGTTTTATTGGCTGGGAAACAGAGAACCTAAGCATGAATTATCTTGGACTTTAAACAAAAATAGTATTCTATTCCATAACAGGAGGTGCTTTAGGTGCTTAAATGCCCATCTTGTGGATCCTATTTGCTGTGAATCCCTGTCTATTTCCATCACTACCCAGCAGCTTTATAGACAGAGATGGCGGCATCTGGAAGAGCAGAGGCTCCCGCTGACATAGGATGTGACTACCTGTGTTCACAGCTGTGGCTCTCCTCTTCTAATGGTTTTGATTGGGTTCCTCAAGTGGTAAATTGCTTAGAAAATTGAAAATGCTTTCTAATGGAGAGGGGAAAAACAAGAATAAGAAAAGACAAAACCGCAACTTGAAGCCTGCTAGGCAACAAGGCCAGCAGAGTGGTCAACAGAAAGGGAGCCTATATCCATGGAACTTTATTCAGAGTAGGGGCATGGGGAGAAACCATTTCAGTTATCTTGAATGCAGCATTAAGAATTGCTTGCTCTATTCTAAGTTTAGTACTCAGTGTCAAGGGTAGGATGTGAAGGCAGCAAGGTGGTGTATGTCACTAAGAGCCTGTGCTCACATAGCACAAAGCCAGTGGAGATTTCAATTAGCATTTCACTTGCATGGCAGGTGGGCAAGTAAAATGTACACTAGTAGACCTTTTTTTTTTTTTTTTTTTTTCTCAGAAAGAAAAAATATTAAGATAGTTCTGTGACTTCTGTTAAAGAAAGGGAAAATGAGAATGGGTGAGTTGTCTGTGTCTCCCATGTGTCCCCTGCTCTGGCATTCTGCTTGTTCAAGGTGTGTGTATAGGGCTTTTGCTAGGTGGGCCCGCTCAGCTCCCATGCCTGCTGTTTTCCAAAGTTGCTGTTCTTCTGCACACAACCTCCCACCCCCACTCGATGACCTTCGAGGCTTAAACATTACTCATTGTAGTACTATTTCTGGTGCAGATTAATTTTTTAAAAAGGTTTATTTTTATGTGTATACATGTGAGCCTGCATGATATGCATACCATATGCATGCAGGAACTGGCAGAGGCCACAAGAGAGCACTATATCCCCCCCCCCCCAGGAGTGGAATTCCAGCAGGCTGTGAGCTGTCATGTGGGTGCTGAGAACTGAACCCCAGACCTGTAAGAATGAATGGTAAGCACTCTTAACTGCTGAGCTTTCTCTCTAGCCCAAGGTTTATTTTTAATTACATATATACTGTGTTTCTGTGTGTGGAAATGTGCATGTGACTACAAGTGCCTAGGAGGCTAAGAAGCCACTGGATCCCCTGAAGCTGGAGTTACAGGTGGTGATGAGCTATATGATGTGCAAGAACAGTATTTTTTTTTTTTTTTTAAACTGCTGAGCCAGCTCTGCAGCACTTCAAAGATTCATTTAAAAACACCCTTCAGACATCTGCTGACAACAGGAACTGTCTGTAATGGCTCACCCCATCTGATGATCCATGAACAAAGATGTTTTTAAACTCTCAACATTCCCTAGAGGGAAGCAAACAATACATATTATCATCTCCCTGGTGGGCATGGTATGACTACCCTAGGACACAGACCTGATGCTCAGAGATACTAACAGCAGACTTCATTCTCTCTCTGGGTCATATCCTGCAAATCAGCAATAGGCAGTGCAACTACGTTAAGTAATGCAAGCAGACAAATCAGCCCTAAAAGTTCAGCATTTATAAGAGAAGAAAGTTATCTTTTCAGACAAACTTTTTGTAAACGGAACAATGTCGACTATGCTCTTTCAGGCCCAAGTAAATTTGCAGTCATACTGCTCTCATTGGAAGTGCTCTGGCAGCGCCTTGTTCATCTTACCCACTACACAAGTGCTCCTGGATATAGGCCACAGAACAAAATACAAAAGAGAAAATGCTGATGACCTGCTGTCTACACTGTGGCATGGCAGGCCTAAAAAGAACTTAAAAAGAGAAACTAGTGGCCAGGAAAAGGTAAGTGCTGGACATGACCAGGAGCATCAGTGATGGTGGACATCTACTCCTGGCCAGTTACCTGAACTCTTCCTTCAGTTGCCCTCAGCCACACTTTCAGGATCACATTCTTTTGGTGGTTCTCTGGACAACTCGCTCTCAATTTCCCATAGGACATCACCTTCCTCCTCTAAGTTGCTGGAGATGTGGCACTTTCTGAACCCCTGGACAATTGATTCACTGGAGATGCTGTTCCATGCAACCATGACCCACTCCAGGAAAAGGCCCAGGGGTGGCTTCTTTGCATTTCCAGTGGGGCTCAGTGCCAGGTTTCCCGCCAGAAGCCAGTTAGAATACTGGGCACGGACACTGTCATTCAGAGGCTTGTAGACTACCATATCCAGCACCTGCAGCTGGGAGGTCAGGCCCCCTGGGATGATCACCATGTCTGTGTTCATGCTTTCCATGGAGCTCTTCACAGAGTCAGTGGCATGACACCGGAAGCCATTCAGGATCAGCATTCCCCGTTGTTTGGGCACAGCTCCAGTTCTCCGTCTCCACACAACTTCCAACCAGTCTTGCATCAAGTCCTCAGTCATCCACCCGTAGCGGTGGCAGCGGATTTCCATGCCACTGGGGAACTTCCCAGGAGGGATATATGTCCCCCTCAAAATGATGTATGGGGGTAACTTCCTCCCATCAGCTAAGACACCCAGCATGGCTGTGATTTTCAATTTCTCTCTACCTGGTGTCTTGACCAAGACAGGCTTTTCACCCTGGTTGTCAACAGTCACCCTAGAGGGCACTTCTAAGCAGATGGGTGTCTCATCTGCATTGCCCATCTGTGCCACTTCATAGTCATGTGTCCGGCGCAGAGCCAGCACACTCTGCTGGTAAGTGACAAGCTTCTCAGTCAGGTCCTCTGCCAGGTGCTGGGGAACCGGCACTTTATGCCTCAGAGATAGGTCATACCTTCTCATCATTCGTCTACACCAGCCCAGACTTGCCTTGAATCCTTTCTCTGGAATGTTCATCTCCTGGGCGATTTCAAGAGCTTTTAACTGCATTGCCTCCCTGGTAATGGGGTCCCCTTTGGCCTGCATGTATCTGACATACTCAGCCACACGCTGGTCCACCAGAGCAAACCTCCCATTCTTGGGGCCTCGGAATGCTCGCCGCATTGCATGGGCATTTTGGAGCTGTGGCTTCACTTTTCGCCAGTCTCGAACATTTTTTTCCAATACCCCAAACTGCTTGGCAGCCTGACAGTTGTTGGTGCTTTCAGCGTACTCCACCACCATCAACTTGAACCCTGCATCATAACTACGGCGCATGCCCCGACTGAACTGAAATTTGCTAGCCAAGTCATCAGCTGAGAGGTCATACCCTGGGAAGCCCAGGGCCATGTAGAAGGGGTAGCCCTCACTCCATTCAGGCAGCTCAGTGATGTCCCGAGGCAGATGCCAAAAGCTGTTGAAGTGCTGAGGTTGAGGGAAAGGGGAGGTGGCATTCATTGGGTTTGCCCAATGTGGAGTCTTAAAGTCAGATTCTTCATTTTCTACAAGACAAATGAGGGGCAAAAATAATGCCAGTATGTAAAATGGTTTATTCATAGATTTGGGGGAGGTCATAATGTTTAATCTGGGACTCATCAAAAATGCACCAAAAGTTCAACAAATAACACAGCCTAAGTCTTTACCTATGTCCCATTAGCACAGATTACCAAATCTTATTTTCATAGTACTGTGTATAGCAGAGGCCCTTTGCAGTTGAACAAAAAGACCATAGATGCTGTGAAACAGCAATGTCACCAAGCTAGGAAGTGACAAGAGAACTCTGGGTGGGAACTGAATTCAGATATTAAGCCTGGGGCAAATAATACCAGGGCCATGTTTGTATGAAAACAATGTTTATGTGTGGGCCTGATGGTACAGACCTATAATTCCAGCTATTTGGAGGCAAAAGAAGGCGGATCACAAGTTCAATGCTAGACCAGACTACACTGTCTCCAACACACACACACACACACACACACACACACATATGAATGATATATATATGAATTATATATATATGACAGTTGGGGCTAGAGCTTGCTTAGCATGTGCATAGCCTTAGGCTCCAAATGTATCCACACTACTACCTAATATTTATAGAAATCTGGAAGCATCCTGTGCTAGCCACAGCCCTTGAGCTGAGCTAAGCAGAGCTGAGCCGAGCCGAACCGAACTGAACCAAACCAACAAACCTACAGCAAGACCCATGTCAACAGAATGAAGCCTATAATGCAGACACCTGGTTCCTGCACAGCAAAGATGAAACTTTTCATCACACATTTCCATTTGGAAGGTAGTCACAGGTAACACAGTTTATGATGATTATGTATCGTCCACACATAAAGACCATTAGCTATAAAATGTACTATTATGTATCATGAAAAGGAAAAAAAAAGAGCTATCACATGCCATTCATTTAAAGAGGCATTCTCAATTGCAATGTTAGTAAAACAAAGGAAAGCATGTGGAATCAGTAAACTATAGCATTTTAACTATATTTAAACCACAAAGAAAAGCAAATATATTTTGGTAAAGTTTCAAAACCATGATATACATGTACATATATGTGTAAATATGTGGGTGTGGGGAATGGAATGCACATATATACATACTTTTTTCTTCTGAGATAGTCTCATGTAATTCAGGCTAGTCATGGATGACCTTGAACTTCAGAGCCTCCCAAGTGTTGGGATTAAATGTATTTTCCAACCATTTCTTTTGATAAATTAGGTACTTCTCTTAGAAGTAACTATTCAAATGTGTACTATAGCTTTTACTGGGTTTCGTACCCAGAACAAACGAAGTAAATAAATCTACCAGTATGCTTTGTTCTTCCCCTCATTATGCCTAGTCTGTAGAGCTCTGCATGTGGCATGCTGCCAAATAGCCATGCTCTCTCAGGTGTGGACCACATGCTGTATCAGTCTTGGTTCACTTCATCCACACACCAGGTTACACATCAAAGTGTAAACTCACAGCTAATAATGAAGAAATGGAGGTCCAGGAGGAAGAGGTTGCCTAAGTCCACACAGTACTAGAAAGGGGGATCTTTACATTCCAAAGCCTACACATAATCTTTGTGCCTCACTCCTGAATACCCTACAGAATACACACGAAAACCAAAAACCCAGCTTGTTTCCCTTAGTGCATGCTGACCGGGTTCACTCAGTACCTGCAAAGGTTACTCCCTGGAGCCGCCACTCATCAGAATTAGGATACTCCTCTTCCCTTTCCAATCGACTGATCATGTCTGGCTTAGGGAACGGGAACTCTGTTTCAGGAAATAAAGTAGGGAAACAGCTGTGTGTTACTGAGTAAGGAACACCCTCACCCTCACTGTAGCTGAGAACAGGATGGAAAGCAGTCTGTCCTAGCATTCCTGGACCTCTACTAATGGGAGCTGGTTCCAGCAACAGCAAAATACAGTGAACTAGCAGGGAGGTGGGTGGAGTTAGCCATTGAAACAATCAACATTTTAGAACCCAACAGATCAAACTTGGGAAATTCTTCCAAGTGGTTACACTCTGAGGGATGAGATCAGTGTGTGTGTGTTTTGGGGGAGTACTCTTTGGTGTATCCCCAAGTATGTCTGAGGTTGATAGGACAACAAAGCTTTCCTTCCCAAGGATCAACAAAACACAGGCCTAGATCCATGGGGACATTTTGAAGGCTATACTTTTTTACTTTTTTTTTTTTTTTTTCAGTAATGGGAACACTTGGGCCAAATAGAAGGGCATAATCTGTATGTCCTATCCAAATCAAAACCAGGAAATGAAGCTGGCACAGAGGAGTCCCATTCACATGAGCACACTGGTTGCAGCAGAGAAGACAGAGAGAATGATATAGTTCTCTGGGCCTAGAGCTTCCCAGAGACAAAGGAAAACAAAACATTACCCAGGGACAGGACAGTCTCATAATTCATCCTCATGACTTCCCGGTAAAGAGATTTTTGTTGCTCCGTCAAAACTTCCCACTCCTCATCCGAAAAATATATGGCCACCTCATCAAATAGGGCTGGTATCTGGAATGTAAACAGAACTTTCTCAATGACTGGTATGTACATGCACACAGATGTTCACATCCGATGGGCTGGGACAGGCAAGTGGGTACAGAGCAGCCTTCACTCTCACAGGTCAGGTCAGGGTTCTCACCCAGGGCTAATGGTCTATCTTTTCTTATTGCTCTTGGGGACAGGGGTGTTTGAGAGCCCTCCTGTGTCTGACCACAGCAGCTGGGCATCATCTCCTCAGGTGCTGCCTGTGATCTGGGACTCCAAAGTTGAGAACCAGCCACACCCCCACGAGGATATCCACCCACACTTCACCTCCCTATATCTCAGCCAGAGACCCTAAGCCCAAGTGGCTGGCTGAACAGGACTCCTGCTTTCCATGGTGTCTCTGAATCACACAGACTTCTCTCCTCTAACACTTCCTACGTTGACTCAAGCTCAGAGCTGTCCCAAGGGAGCCAGCCAGAGAAGGCACCTTACTGGCCCTTCCAATGTATAGGAGCACAATTCGAGCTTCACTTATAGAATGAGACCCCAGCAAAATGGTGGGCTTTTATGCCAGACTAGGTTCCCTGCCCCATTCTTCCACCTCTCCCTTTTCTGGGTCCCAAAAGTAGGAAGTGCCTTCCTAGCCAATGATGGCCAGCAACCAAAATCTCTAGCTTTTACAACTGATTTGCTTTTCTTTCTATTGCATTTTCTTTTGTGGTCATTAAAAGTCCTACTCCAAAGCTCATATTTCATGTTAAGAAATCACTAATGAACTTACTTCAGGCTGTCTACTTTGCATTCTATCCTTCAAGCTTATTCCTCAAATCTGTGTCTTAAGCCTGGGTGATCACACTGTCTCTCATTAGATTAGAAAAATCAATGTATATATGGCCTGCAGCCTCTTCAGGAGTTAAGCTGTCACTTACACCTGGCCTTTCTTCCCTTGTCAACTAGACCTACTTACTATGCTTTAATTTTGCTACTGTTATGAATTGTAAACATCTGATAATGCAGGATGTCTGTGAAGGGGGTCTGGAGGTGTCATGACCCATAAATTGAGAACTACTATAGTTAGTAGGCACATACCATGTATTACTAAATGTGTTATGGAGACAAATATATTACTTCTGGATTTCTCTTCTCATACTTGGAAGAGTTTTAAAGAATTAAAATTTTATTTGTCAAAAACAAAACAAAACAAAAACAAAAAAAGCTCCAAGTCAACTCTGTAAAACTGACAACAATTCTTCACACATGGAACAGTAGAGATAAAAATGGTGTGGTCCCTAGAGTTTTCCTCAGACTTCCTCAGTCTAGAAACTAGGCAACTCAGAGAACTTCATGTATTCTACTACCCAAGATTTTAAACAACTCTCTTTGCCCTTTTCACTCCCTTACGAGGTCCAGATCTCTATTTATAATCTCCCATTTGCTGACAGAAGAATGCAGGCCTAGTTACATCAACCCCTGCAGGGCAGGTAACACATTCTAGACCTGGATAAATGTTGACTTTCAAGAGCTGGTGTGGGGACTCAGCCTCTCCTAATTATCACGTGGCTGTGGCTAGAGGACCTTCAAGCTAACACCCAAGGCACAACAGGGAGGCTTAGAAAGTCTCCCCAGAGCCCTAAGAAGATGGGGCAAGACTCTGGGTCCTGCCACACAGCCTTTTTTTTTTTTTTTTTTTTTTTTTTTGCTTCCTAGAAGCCTTTTATTTGATCAAATGCAACAGAAAGTAAACAGTGCTGGCTCTAGTTAAAATTGAGAAGTCAGGCAGTCTGCAGGTAGTTCAAGCTCCAGTCATCCTTCCTTGGCCTTACAGGTAAGAACTTGAAATTCCTGTCCTCCTCCACACATGACTAAGGACTCATTAGAGAAGTGTTCTTTAGCTGGTATGCACTGCCTCACTCTCCTGGGAAGCTGGCATTCCAATACTTACCTCTAAGGTAATTGTTCTGTAAAGCCCTTGCACACTTTGCAGCTTACTAGACAGTAGGCATCCGAGGGGAGTTGGAAGCACTGCATCAATAGGACCTCTTTGAATTATTTAAACAAGCTATGGATATGGGGATTGCTACTCAACTTTTACGGTTAAGGAACAGTGGCTAAGTAACTTGGCTGAAGTCATACAGCTAGAGTCTGATTCCAAAGCTAGTGCTGTCTCAACAGGCTGCCCTGGCCTTACCAAGGTGACTGTAGTATGTAATCCTTCCCAGCTCTGCTCTACAGAGGCCTATTATGTAGACTGATGAGTCTAAGACTCATTCCTCAGTTAACTCAGGCCAGCTTAACTGTCCGGTGCAGCACACCATGTCCCCTGGCTTACCTTTTTCCACTGCCCATCTCACAAGGTTCCAGCTTCAGGGGTGTCTCTTAACTCCACCCACAGCCTCTCTCTCCCATGCCTTTCATTATGCTGTTTTCTTGCCTGGAGTGCAAGCTCCTTCTCTCTTCCTTCCCTTTGCTCATCCCACTCATTTATAAAGTTCAGTTCTAAGTGTATTTTTTCTTTCTATTTGAAACTGTATTTCTACTCCAATTCTATTATAGAGCACAGCTTACATGTGAGTAGTTCTGATGAAACATCTTAATTATTATCAAAATACAGATTCTATTTTTTTCTTCTCCTAATTTAAAATGCTAGATCAGTGTCTCAGCCATATGCTACTGATATTTTGCACTCCCCGGTTCCTTGTTGTAATGCAGGGTACCACCAACTGCACTGTAGATGTATAGGGAGATCCTTCACTCAAACTGAGGATGCTATTAGGGCCTTACACCCCACCCTCTACCTTAGGTCACAACAACTAAAATCATCTCCACATACTGCTAAATGTTCCTGGGTGGGGAGGGGGCAAAACTGTTCATGGCTCAAGACCAGGCCTTCTCCAGAAGCACACTGTCAGTCCTGAATGAGACTTCCCCTCTTTGTCTGTGAGAGAACAGTGAGCTGCCCTGTCAGGTTTCTTTCCCTTATGAGACTGGGGGCTGCATGAAGGGACGGATTTGTCTTAATACTGTGCAGTAACTGTGGATGGATAGCCATACAACAAATAATAAAAACTCAGAGACTGATATTGGGATTCAAGCTTCAAGCTGATGATTAAAAAAGCAAATAAGCCAGGCACTAGCTCTTACCTCTATCTCAGACTGAAATGGTAATCCTGTCTCTACGAATCCTCAGAAACAATGCTCTCTGCCAAACCTCAGACTGTAATCCTGTCTCCACCAAGCCTCAGACTGCAATCCCAGACTGTTGACTCTCTTTGTGGCTGGAGACAAATTCTCTCATGAGATCCTTTCCTTTTATACCTTTCAAATCCTGGGATTAAAAGCATGGGATCTCAAGTGCTGAGATCACCTTTGTGTGAGTTCTGTTTCTCTTTTAGACAGGATCAAATTCGTGTAGCTCAGTGTGGCCTTGAACTAACAGAGATCCATCTACCTCTGTCTCCTGAGTCCTGGGATTAAAGGTATACTACCACTGCTTAGCTTCTATAGCTAACTAGTGTGGCTGGCTTTGCATTCTGATACTCCAGGCAATCTTTAAGTCACAATATCACCACAGACAGCTGATTTTCTAGAGATTACAAATGTCCAAATCCCAGCCCCACCTCTCAAGCTGCCAGGCTCCCTCCTCCAGCTACCCTGCTCACTCCTTTTTTTTTCCTGGGCAAAAAGGCAAGCTCCTCACCTGGCTTTTCTCATTTGCTCAACACAATCAGATGTCTACTTTGACTGCACCCGATTTCCATACTGCTCCAGCCCATTTAGCTATCCTGGGTTGCTCAATTTAGCCTCAGAATCCAGGGTTTCTGCTGCTTTAAGGTCTTCAAGCTGCCAGAACTGATCACGGCACAAGTCAGAATTGGGGAGGACAGGGTAGACAAACACAAATGTATAAAAGGCACCATGGCTCCAGACCAGTAAACCTAGTGCCTGGAGATGCATAGTTTACACTAAGACATAACACAGAAACATGCTCCACTGCTGGGCTGCAGCTTAGGAAGTCAGTGTACACAGGGATCCAGGCAGTAAAGCCAGTAACGTTTTGGTACCTGAGATTCTGTAGGAAGGGTGGATTAGATAATTTGAAAGAAGAGTCTTTCCAATTTTTGGCTGCAGTTCTGTATTCTATGGTGAAGGGCTGCCCTTTTATTGGGCACAAAGGATATTATTTATTGATAATGTTTACACACAATAAAAATTAAGCAATGTCAATTTATTGCTTACTTAAAATGACTTCAACTCATACTCAATTTCTATGACCCCAGTAACTACTGTAAATAAATGTATGTATTAAATACTGCTGCACTTACACTTGTGTATTCCCTGGAGCTTAGCATTTCCATTTACACCTGGGGGACAAATAGCACTGGGTGTCAATTGCTATGCCTAAATTCTCCTCAGCTAAGCTCAATTACCCAAGTCTTACGTATACTTGGTGCCTACACAATATGATGATATTAAGTGAGCATACAGGAAGTGGATGAATGAGAGAGTGACAAGAAGACAAGGTCTCAGTTTCTGAGACTTACAATCAGCCTTGGTGCCAGAGGCCCTGTTCCCATCACCGCCTCCTCCCTCCATTATTTGCACTACCTTATGAAGCCACAGGGCTGTTTTCTCAGGAATGCAAACACATGAGACTGGGCTATTTTTACTTCCCATGTCTGCTCCAGGAGGAGACCTAAAGCAAGCCTGGCTCTGAGGCTGGATCCTACATACTTACTTACCCATGTGCCTTCTGAACAGATTTGTACTTTCTGCATATCTATGGGGCCATCCTCCAATTCTTGGATTTGAACCTCCTTTTCTTGCTCTTCTTTCAGAGTCAAATGTGGAGGGTAGGCTGGGGGCTCCATCTCTGCATGCAAGATTTAGCAGAGAAGTCAGGTGTCAGAGTGAACTCTAAGCCCCTGAGAGGGTGGCTCAGGCACACACAAACCCGCAAAACACTGTCTACTTCCAGCTAGAAGGGATTCAGGGAAAGTGGTTTATTTCATTATTAGAGGCGCTGCGGGCAGATATATCTGGCTAGCTTCAAATATTTAAACCATTTTCTGTGGTTTCACAGACCATTTGTACAGAGGGACAGAACTGAGAGCCGTGGATGCGCATTCCGGAAGAGGTTTGAAATAGTGCACTGACAGGCATAAGTTTCCCACCATCAACACCAATTGTACATGGAATCAGGGTTGGAGGAGAGCTGTGCTGGTTTGCAACCAAGCCAAAGAGTCTTGAGTCTAGATAGGACATTTGAATAGTTGGCATAAAATATTTATCACCTGGATTTTCCAGATTCACAGGCGCTGTCCACAAGCCGCCAGTTCAGAAACTTAAACAGTCTTAAAGGACCTCCCAAAGCCAAGTCTGTGATACAGAGAGGGGTGTGCCCGGTTGGCGGAGACCAACCCAGACCTGGCAGGACTCTTCGCCTCTGGTTGGCAAATTCTCTGTATTCGAAGCCTCTTCAGGCTGGTACAAAGAGCTTCCCCTTAAAAGACTGCCGGCAATTGCTGGTTGTGTAGTGAGTGTGCATCTTGTGAGTCCCATTTTTCGGGACTTGCAAAGCAACGATCTTTCCGGAGTTCGGAGTCAGCTTCTCCAATGTTTCCGGGGGTGGGGGACGGCCTGGGGAGGTAGGAATGCCCGTGAGGTCCCAGGACCCGCGGCCTGCACCCGGCCGGCCGCGGGGCGGGAGGTGGGAGGGGCCGGGCCGAAGGTGCCCGCCGCCGCCGCCGCCGCCCCTGCTCACTCCAGCCATCTTGAGCGACCCTATCCGGCCAACCCCGTACACGCTCCCAGCTCGGGTCCCCATGCACCTGCGGGGTGGCGACAGTCCGCGCCTCCCACCTCTCCGGCCGGCCCGCAACAAAGGCGGCGGCGGCGACAGCTGCCGTGGGCGGCCCCCGCCCCGCCGCGGCCCAGCCTCCCCCGCTAGCCCCGGGGAGGAGCCGCCCCAGCCCCGCGGCCCGCGAGCACTCACCCCGGCCGAGCGGGCGGTGCCGCCGCAGGGGGCGACGAGGGCTGCGGCCCGGCATTCACCGCGCCACCGACTCCGCCGCTGCAGCCGCTCCGGCCGCCCCAGAGCGGCCCCTCGCGACCGAGCGAGGACACGTGGTGGGAGGGGAGGGGAGGGCGGAGCCGAGGGTGTTAGGGGGCGGGCTGAGGGCTGCTGACGTCAGCAGGCCTCGGCGGTGCTTCCGGCGACGTCGGTGAAGAGAGCCTAGCTGATGGGCGTGGAGGCGGCAGCGGTGCTCCCTCCCTCCCACGTGGTTGGCTCGCTTGTAGCTGCCGCGGTGGCCGTTTGCTCGACGGAACACAGGCGAGCGCTCCGCTCAGGCGTCCAGAAATGCACTGTGACTCTAGCCCACCCACCGGGGAGGCGGAGGGAGGACCGGGCTCAGCGTTCCTATTCTGTCCAGAACGCTGTTCCTGGCAGAAACGCGATTTTTGTAGTATTGGCTATTAACTCGCAAGCATGTAATTCCCTGGACGAAGTAGCTGTGTAGAAGTTCTTTCGAGTTGTTTGCCTGTAGCTCTAGAGAATATAGCAAGTGTTCCAAGAGATTCCCGAAACCCTCATTGTTCTAGAAGATTCTACTGTTAGATTTCTGTCGGGAGCTTGTTTAAAAAAACAAACAAAAAACCCACTTGATAATTACTGAAACGCTAGGAGAAATTGAGTTCTACTTTGGGACAAGAGGAAGGGCTGTGGATGTCAGGGGATGAAAAATTGCTGAGAGGAATTATCAGAGGTTGAGGGATTCTTGCTAAACTTATTGAACAGGATTCATGTTGAAAGCAAGGGTGCTACACTGGCTTAGGGAGATTCTTGCTAAAACTTGGCTGGGCAAGCAGAAGATGGGGTGGGCACCAAGGCAGAGAGGCCTCTCCCAGCAGATGGCTCAAACGCCTACCCGATCAAGTAAAGAACCTTTTAAAAAAGACTTTTTTTTTATTATTTTAAATTAAATTGTGTGTGGGTATATGTTTATGCCTGAAGGAATAAACATGAAATACCCATAGAGTTGGTGTTATAGGTAGTTGTGAGTTACCTGATACGGATGCTGGGAACCAAACTCTGGTCCTCTCCAAAAGCAATGCTCTTAGTCCCTGAGCTGTCTCCACAGCCCCAAGAGAAGCTTTGTTTATGTATGTATTTTAAACGTATTGCTTCTGTATGTGTATGCATGCACATGATATGTGTGTGTAATCACAAATGCCATGATATACATGTGCTGTGTTTTTAATACATAAAATACAGCACAATGGATACATCTTGAAAATGTTATACCTGACCAAGAGAGAAGAAGGCTTAATCACTGGATAGGAATTAAAATATTGAGAGAGGAGGTTAGAAATTCTTTGTTGTTATTTTAATTGACAGCTCATTTGATGTGTAAGTTTAGACTTTTAAAAGCAGGACTGACAGTTTACGTTGATTGGTATTTTCATTTTAACTTTTCTGAGGGAAATGGCACTTTCCAGTGGAAAAGTAAGAAGGTTGTCAGGGAGAGACAAGGGAGATGGGTCATTGCTGGCATTTATTTAAGTATCTGTAGGAAGAGGTTCTTCAGTGACCCATTTGAATCTGTTTAAGTTTTTAAAAGAAGATGTATTTATGTATATGAGTGTTTGCATGTATGTCTTAGTTTGCTCTCTATTGCTGTGATAAAATACCATCACCAAAAGCATCTTGGGGAGGGAAGGGTTTATTTCAGCTTAACAGTTGCAGTCTATCATGAGGGCAAGTCAGGACAGGAACTCAAGGCAGGAACCTAGAGGAAGGAACTGAAGCAGAGACCAGGAAGGAGTGTTGCTTGTTTGTTGGTTCTCCAAAGCTTCCTCACACCACTTTCCTATACCACCCAGGACCACCTGCCAGGGATGACATCACCCAGTAGGCTAGGCCCTCCCATGTCCATCAAGAAAATGGCCCACAGAACTGCGTATAAACAAATTTGAAGAAGGCAATTCCTCAGTTGACATTCCTTCTTCCCAGGTATGTTCAAGTTTATGTCTAGTTGAGAAAAAACAACCAGCACAATGTGTTTATGTACACTATGTGCCCATGGAGGTCTGAAGAGGACATTGGATTCCTTGGAACTCTAGTTACAGATGGTTTGTGAACTCAGGTCCTCCACAGGAACAATACGTACTCTTAACTGCTGAGCCATCTCTCCAGCCTCTTGAATTCTTTTCTAAAACAATACTTCCATGCTTTCAATTACTGCCAAGGAACCCACCTGTTAGGGGCTCAATTGCTAAGAAGGCTTACTTTCAGAATAGGTGCAGGTAGGTACCTTATTAAACAATGCAGACATGAATATTCAAGTTAGTTCTCTAAGTCTAGTCATTTCTGTCTGGTTGGCTTTTCTCAGTTGCTGAAAAGAGATGAATTATACATTGCACAGGCTTTCCCTCAGTTTTATTAAATGATGTGGTTCTCAGTACAACTTCATCTGAATGGGAAGTGGCTGAAGCAAATCTCTGAGACAGTGCATGGCTGCAGTAATTTGACAGCATGGATTTCTGCTAGTAGTTGCTTTATTTATCAGCAGAATGTCTATGAAATTAATGTAATGAACCTTTAGTGATGCTGTCAGTCTGATTTCATTCTTAGTCCTGTTGAATTATATCAGCACCATACCATAAGATTCTAAAAGGTGAGGTTAGAGAAGTTAGCTCAGGGCTTAAGAACAAGTGTAAAGACAGGTAGGTAATAAGCTGGGCATAGTGTATTAGCCATCTGTAGTAGCCCCACAATGCAGTACCAGTCTGTGCTAACCTGTCTTTGTGAGGCTTCAATTGTATCCAGCTGACTTGCCTGGTTCATACCTGAGAAGGGGAGTGTGGATTGAGAAATAGCAGGTAAAGATAGTAAGGAAAAGATTGAGACACAGGATAGTGTCAGGAGGGCAATCCAGTGAATACTGAATACCTCAAGTTTATTCTTAAAACCAAAATGGGGAAAATGGAAAAAGACTTCTTTATCATGATACAAGGAAGAAATAGGCTTTCTTCCTTAATTCTCTAAACATTTAGTAACCATGCCTTAGACTAAATTTCTAATTATCTGGCCTTGAGGGTTAAGAGTAACCACACCTTAGACCAAGTCTCTTGTTATTCATATAAGACATCCACATCTAAGACCAAACATCTAAGCCATGCCTTAGACCTTTAGGTCTTATGACTTTAACCTTGGAAGAGTAAGGATAGTTTTGAACTCTATGACCTTAAGCCAAGATGAAGCAAAGCCATTTATATGGACTCTTTGACAGCATAGTTCTGTGCAAGCCTATAATCCCAGAACTAAGGAGAGTGGAAACAAGAAGGCCACTGAGGCTCACCTCCTCCCAGCCTCTAGAGGATGTATGGTAGGGTACACACACACACACACACACACACACACACACACACACACACCCCTACATCTACCTGAGTTCGAGGTCCAGGGAGAGACTCTATTTTAAAAAAAAGTATGATTAAGAGTGTTAGGGGTTAACATTGGACCTCCTCCTCTACACCCAGCTTCCACAAATCCCCCAAAGCTTCAAATCCCACAAAACACTCACTTTTGACTGAAGTGTCTCTGATGAAAATGCCTTTCTGACCTTGTTCAGTGGAGGCTCCGTTGTCCTTAGATAGCATGGCTTCTGGCCTACTGTCTTCTGTTCTCTGGTATTTTGGTAAATTGAACCAATCACCTCTGTCCTTTGTGTCCCCACGGCACTGTTACACACTGTGCTATTGCTGAGGTGTTGTATGCAGAGTGAACTTCAGTGCCCTGCTCATTTGGCATGGTCATGTGATGCACTTTGGCCAATAGGATGTGAGTAGAAAGGTTTAGTTGCCTCCTAAGAGGTTTAGTTGCCTCCACATGAACCTCTGAGTCACTCTGGACTTCATCAAGTTTGTTCAAGTATGTTTAAAAAGGATAAAACTAAACCACAGCCAATTAAAAGTATACTAATGTAACTGCTGCTTGCTTAACCAATTAAGTTTGAAATGACCTAACCGTTCCTGCAGTTCCCCTAGCTGTGCTCAGAAGGAGCCTGCATGCTCCTCTTAGGGTTGTCACCATTTTGCACAGGTGAATGGACTGCATGAATGCTGGAATATTAATAAACACTCCTTGCTCTTGCATACTATTTGAGCCTGGGGTCTTCCTTTAGCGTTTTCTCAGACCCTACACTTTCTGACTCAGGCAGAAAAGCAGCAGCAAATGACCTTGCAGGTGTAGTTTTAAGAGAATGAAAAGGAGAGGTGTTAGAATAGGCTAGGATGTGGTGGTAAATTGAGGGAGAAGGGGAGAGGGACAAGGGAAAGGAGACAGGAATATTTGTCCCAGAGGAACAAAGGACTGCCTCTGGATAAAGGGGAAGATAAATATGGCACATAGGCAAATGGCAGTTTATAAAGGTAAAGAGGGAAAACCTGTGTTAGTTGAGATGTTTAATTGTAATTGGGGATGTTAATTAGGTGAACCAAAGGGGACTTTTGATTGCTGGACTTTGGTAGTCAGCCCCAGGAGGAAGAAGTGGCCAAATAAGGGAATAGACCTTGGTGTCTAGCTTTAGGAATGTAGCAAGGCAGAGGAAATGAGGAGAAGGGTAAGGCCTGCCAGAGCCACATGTTCAAGTGGGCCAGTCCTTCAGTATCTGCACATTGGTCTTTTGTGGTTTCTCTATCTGGAGTTGAGCAGATGTCTTTGTTGTGTCTCCGTAGGAAAAATTTTGTCACAAAACAAAAACTCCACTGTACAAAAGCACCAATCCTTAGTTTCTACATATCTATTGTGGGGGGAAAAGTTCTCAGGAAAAAGCTATACCTTCAAACTGAACCTAGTTCAGTAACTGTGGATTGGAGTGTTGCAGAGCTACAGTCTAATGCCAGAGATCTTTGAGTATCTTTGGCCCGCCTACAGATAGTTATTGCTGTCCTCTGTGTCAGATTTTACAGCTTTGTGGCTCTTTGGAAAGTCATTTGGAATGTACAAACAGAGTACTGGTTTTCCAGCCAACCAAAAGCTCAATATACTGTCAGATAGCATCTGAGACCTATGGCAGGCTTTTGTTTCAGCCCTCGTTAATGTTATCCCCAGGGCATTTGAAATGTGCCTTGATCTA